GTGGACAGGTTTCAGTGGAGTTTCCAGCCTAAGACAGAGTATGAGGAAGGAGCATCAGACCATTTCTGAATGGTTAGCCACTGCAAGCCTTTTGCAAAGCAGTAGAACATTGTCAGCTATAGGGCCAGGAGATGAGCTTCTCAGGTTGGATGTCACTCAAAATACCACAGAGGAAGAGCTGCCTCCTAAACATAGATGGAGCAAAGCTTTCAGGAACTTCATTTGCTGATGGGACATAATCCAATATGAGAAGAACTAGCTTCAAACATCCACTAATAATTGGCATGTGGAATGTGCAAAGTATGAATGTAGGAAAACTAAAAGACATCGTAAATGAAATGGAATTATAATAGATCTATATCCTAAGGTTCCGCGGGAGAAAGATGAGGCTTTCAGCTCCCGTAAAGATTTACAGCCTTGGAAACCCTGTGTAGGGTCACTATGAGTCGGAACCAACTCCACGGCACATAACAACAATAACAACAAATATCCTAAGCATTAGTGAATGGAAATTGATTGGTATTGGGCATTTTGAATCCAACAAGCATACTGTTCACTATGCTGTGAGAGTGACAAACTGAAGAGGAATGGCATTGCATTCATCTTCAAAAAAGCATTTCAAGCTGAAGATAATTATCACAAATTAATGAAAGCAAAAGTATGACTTTGAAGATATTCCACTTGAATTTAGAGACTATCTTAAAAGATTTGATGCATTAGACACTAATGACGGAAGACCAGAGGAGTTGTGTAATGACATCAAGAACCTTGAATATGAAGAAAGAAAAAGGTAATTTAAAAGACAGGGAAGAAAGGTAAGACCAAAATAGATATCAGAAGAGACTATGAAACTTGCTATTGAATGTAAAAAAGTTAAAGCGACTGAAAGAAATGACAAAGTAAAAGGGCAAAAGGGCAGCTTGAGAAGACAAAGTCAAGTATTATAACAATGTTCAAAGACCTAGAGTTAGAAAACCAAAAGGGAAGAACATGCTCTGCATTTCTCAATCAGAAAGAACTGAAGAACAATTCAAGCTTTGGTTTGCAGTATTGAAGGACTCTATACTGGTAGCGTAGTGGTTACGAATTGGGCTGTGAACCTCAAGGTCAGCAGTTCGAAACTCCCAGTTGCTCCATGAGAGAAAGATGAGGCATTCTGCTCCTGTAAAGATGTACAGCCTCGGAAACCCTGTACAGGGTCGCTATGAGTCGGAACCGACTCCATGGCACACAGCCATGGGCAAAATAGAGTCCTGGTGTGGTGCTATGGGTTAATGCGCCAGACTGCAAAGCCATTTGAACTGCAAAGTCGGCAGTTCAAGCTTACCAGCTGCTCCTTGGAAACCCTACACAGGGTCACTATAGGTTGGAATCGACTCCACGGCACTTGACAACAACAACAACACTCATATAGGGATTCTGAAGAGTGGTTGGTGAGTTTGAACTAATGACCTTGTGGTAGGATAAGCATTGAACTGCTAACTACAAGGTCGGTGGATCAAACCCAAAAGCTGCTCTTTGGAAAGCCTATACAGGGTCACTATGAGTCAGAACTGATTCAACAGCTCGTAACAACAACCAATGGGCAAAATATTGAATGAGGCAGAATGCATCAAAATAAGATGGAAAGAAAAAGGAATGTTCAACCATTTCAAGAGGCAGCATATGAGCAAGAACCAATGGTGTTGAAGGAAGAATCCCAAACTACAGTAAAAGCATTGGTGAAAAACAAGACTCCAGGAGTTTACAAATATAAATTGAAATGCTCTAGAAACATGCAGCGTTGAAGCACTCAATTATCTGTGCCAGGAAATTTGGAAAACAGCTATCTGGCCAGTCAATTGGCAGAGATCCATATCTGTGTCCATTCCAAAGAGAGGTAACCCAATGGAATGCAGAAATTATCTAACAATATAATTAATATCATCTGCAAATTAAATTTTGCTGAAGATCATTCAAAACAGATTGCAGCAATATATCACAAGGAGCTCCCAGAAATTCTAATCAGATTCATAAGAGGACATGGAATGAGGGTTATCACTACTGATATTAGATAGCTGTTGACTGAGAGCAGAAAATACCAGAAATATGTTTAATGTGCTTTATGGACAATGCTGAGGCATTCAACTGTGTAGACCATAACAATCTATAGATAGCATTGAGGAAAATGGGAATTCCAGAACACTTATTTGTGCTCATGAGGAATTTGTACACAGACCAAGAGGCAGTCATTCAAGCAGCACAGGGAATAAAAACTGAGTAGTTTAAAATCAGGAAAGGTATGTGTCACCATTTTACTCAATCTGTATGCTGAGCAAATAATCTGAGAAGCTGGATTATATAAATAAGAACCTGACAAGCAAATTGGAGGAAGACTCATTAACAACCTGTGATATGTAGATGATACAACCTTGCTTGCTAGAAGGGAAGAGGACTCAAAATACTAACTGATGAAGATTAAAGATTCCAGCCTTCAGTATGGATTATACCTCAATGTAAAGAAGACAAAAATCCTCACAACCAGACTAGTACGTAACATCATGATAGATGGAGAAAAGATTGAAATTGTCAAAGACTTTCATTTTTCTTGAATCCACAATCTATGGCAGCAGCAGTCACAAAATTATATGACTTAATGCATGACTATAGGCAAATCTGCTATAGAATAACTCTTTAAAGTGTTAAAGAGTAAAGATGTCACTTCAAGGAATAAGGTGTACCTGATCCAAGCCATGGTATTTTCAGTTGCCTCGTCTACATGTGAAAGGTGAACAGTGAATAAGGAAGACCAAAGAATTGATGACTTTGAATTATGGTGTTGACAAAAAATACTGAAAACCATGAACTGCCAGAAGAATAAACAAATCTGTCTTGGAAAGCAGTACAACTGGAATGCGCCTTAGAAATCAGGATAGTAAGACTTTGTCTCTCATGTTTTGGACATGTTGTCCAGAGGGACCAATCTCTGCATAAGGACATCATGCATAAGTAAAGTGGAGGCTCAGTGAAAAAGACGAAGATCCCCAATAAGATGAATCTATACAGCAATAATGGGCTCAAACATGACTGCAGTTGTGAGGACGGCTCAGGACCAGGCAGTGTTTAGTACTATTGTATATACAGTCAGTATGAGTTGGAACTGACTCGAGGGCACCTAAAAGCAACAAATGCTCTTAAGGAAAAAAATAAAGCGTGATAATAGGAAGAAGTCAATTAAAGTGTGAGTACTATATTTCATAGATGCTGATAAGGAGAAACCTTTTGAATAATGCGATGTTCTAGCAGGTCCTGGTGTGGCAATGTATGATAAACATTCAACTGCAAGGTCAGTGATTCAAATTTATCATCTGCTTCTCCAAAACTCTATACAGGTAACTATGGGTTGAAACCAATTCAACGGCACTTAGCAACAACAAAGATAATATTAAATCCTGGTGTTGCACTATAAAATAAACACTGGACTGCTAACCAAAGGGTCTTCAGTTCAAACTCAGCAGCTACTCCTCAGAAACCCTATGTAGGGTCACTATGGGTCAGGACCACCTCGACAACACTTAACATCAACATCATCAAAGAAAATGGAGTCCTGGTGTGGTGCTGTAAGATAAGCACTGGACTGCTAACCACAAGATCTATGGTTCAGCTTCTTCAACCACTCCTCAAAAGATCTATGCAGGGTCACTAGGAGTCAGAACCGCCTTGACAGCAGTTCACAACAACAAAGAAAATGAGGCACAAGATAAGTAGTTATTGGTAGGAAGAATATTCTAGACAATAGGAATGACAAGTGGGAAAATGTCTTTATATGTGAGGAGTAACCGGAAGGCCAGTAGCATGGGAAAAAAGTGGGTGAATTGGTAGTGGTGGGGGATCCCTGCTGGTGTTTATTCCTGTCTTCTTTTCCTTTCTCATTCACACCCTTCCACAATGGAGGCTTTGAAAGAAACATGAAATGACCTGATAAATTGCAATAAGTATTTAAAGGAGAAGAAAACTATTGGAATTTAGGGGATTATTTGTGGATTTAAAATAACTTTCTGTACTCAGTATTACAGACAAGTAAAAGTTTTTTTGTAAGAACAAGAATGAAAATGAAAGTCATACTTGGAATTTGTATAATAACTTGAATTACAATAACCATCCAAGCACCATTGTTTTTATCTCCTGGTTAGACATATTTGAGACTAATATTCATGTTGTTGTTGTTAAGTGCTATAAAGTTGGTTCTGATTCATAGCAATGCTGTGTAAGGTTTCCAAGGGGTGGTTGATAGGTTCAAACTTCCAACCTTGCAGTCAGTGGTCCAGTGTTTATTCCCAGGACTCCACACTACTTAAAAATGCTTGAGAGTCTCAGAATTTCTGTTGAAAAAAAAAAAAAAAAGACTCTCCTGACTGTTAATGAATTAATTTTACATTGTATATTCTTATTAAAATCCTGATGTGATGCTGTAGGATAAACACTGGTTGGTGATTCAATCCCACCAACCGTTCCTCAGAAGCAGCATGAATCCGAACCAAATAGACCGCACTTAACAATAACAACTATAGTCATATGACATTCATTGAATAATGATTTTATAAAAGTACTGCATTTTATGTTGAGGGAGATGCAAAAATCAGTAATTGATCCTATTACCTTGGAAAAATTTATTTTAAATCCAAAATATATTATTTGTTACTACAAGAACCATTTTGCATGGTGAGGGAAAAAGCAGTTAAATAGTGTGGCGAATGGGTGGCAAGTCTAGGAGTAGAGGTCACCTGGTGTCATTTTCACAGGATTGTTATTGATTGTCAATGAAGCACCCTGCAGTAAGAAGTACAAACCTTTTGAATTTCTTGAAAGATTGTTTAGATTCACTTAAGTACCTGATTTTCCATAGAATCTAAAATAAACATTGAAGTTTCTGCTGTATGACTCTTAATTTCTATGATATGATGTATGCTATGACTCTTGCTGACTTTTTATATATAATAAGCACAATCTGTTATGTGTAGGTGGAGACCATAGGTGATGCATATTGTGTAGCTGGAGGATTACACAAAGAAAGTGACACACATGCTGTTCAGATAGCACTGATGGCTCTGAAGATGATGGAGCTCTCTGATGAAGTCATGTCTCCCCATGGAGAACCTATCAAGGTAAGATATATGATAGATTGTCCAGAAGCTATCGTTAGAGCCACTGCTCATTCATTAGTTATCAAAAGAATAGTGTATGGGTCAGGGTGTAGTTATAGTGAGCAAAATCTTTTCTAACTAGTTTAAGCAGCAAAATATTTATGAAAAGGCTCACAGGGTCATTGAGAGACCTATGTAAATCTATCAAGTTGGACTTTTAATTTAAAATATGCTCCCAAGGAAATCCTTTACATTCCATGACCAGGAAGCTGAAGCCACAGTCAGAAAGCTAATGTATTGTTTCCAGAGACCTGCTGCTTATACTGTTGGCTAAAGAAAGAACTGCACCCAATATAGTTTGAATCACAACATGGTAAAATTCTATCATGACATTTGCAAAATGAGTGGCTAGAAACTAGGCATTGTACTAAGCTTGCTAGAGCTAAACCAATGAATTCTACACATATACATTGACTTGGAAGTGACGGAAATGCAGTCACAACTCCAGTCCTAGTTTCCAAAACTCATGCAAGTGCTTTTGATTGATAAAACCTAAATGTACCTAGAAGCTACAAAGAAGTTTGGAAACATAGATTTTAGTTTACTCACTTCTGTAGGAGAGGATATTGCACAAGAATGGATATTGACTGCTGATCCACTAATGTTTTCCAAGTCCGATTACATTCCAAACCTTCACATCATAGAACAATGTCTTATTAAAGAAGAGAATATTTCATGAGCCAGACACTGGTGTAATAGATAGAACATGAGCAGTTCTTTATTTTACTCACTTAGAGTGGATCTGCCATTTAACTTTTATAGGAATGTCCTCAATTAATGACTATTGGAACTGGATCTTTGAAGTAATGTAGAATCCTATCCTATAAACAATAAAAAAGAGAAAAAATTAAACTGTAACATTTAGAGGTTTAACCTTGGCCGTCTTTAACCTTGATAGGAAATACATGTCTAAGTCTTCTTAAATCATTGTCTAAGCTATATAGTTGTCCTAGTTATTTATTGTCATGTAACATACCTTCTTAAATTTAAGTGGTGTAAAAGCATACATGGAGTCCTGGGGTGGCACTGTAGGATAAAGCACTGGACCACAAGGTCAGTTTGAACCACAAGGAGGGAAGTTCAAATTCACCAGTGACTCCTTGGAAACCCTATCCAGGGTCTCTATGGGTTGGAACCAACTCCATGATACTTAACAACAGCACCAAAAGCATAAACATACAACTATGCATATGGATGCTGGGCACCAGTAATTTGGACAGGGCATAGCAAACAGATATCTTGTATGTACTCATTACTAAATTCCATCTAATTATTGAGTACTTGAACTTTGTTTAGAATACATATATGCAATAAAACTCAAAAAAGATCAGCTAAGCATAGAAGTTAAAAATAATGAATGCTCATGATGTCTGAAGTAATTTTAAAATACCCTGATTTTTACTTTTTAGTTACAGCAGTAATTTAAGAGTCTATCTTACCCTCTAAGATCTTGAGATATTCAGATCTTCGTGGAGATCTAATATACAATATTCTGTCTCTGTGACCTCCAAATCACTAAAACATTCAGAATTCCTAAACTTACATCCCCACACACCCAGATTGTCTCATAACTATAACTGGGATAAGTCTGAATTCTTCATGAGTTCAGGTTTATAGTTTAGTGTATGTTGTCCCTGTACTCTCATACAGTGGTGCAAATGGCTAATGTACTTGCTGCTAACCAAAAATCTACCCTGAAATGCCTCAGAGGAAAGGCCTGGCAATCTATCACTCATACCCCCCTGTCCCCACCAAAAAAACAGCCGTTGAAAACTCTAGGGAGCACAGTTTTACTCTGACACATGTAAACTTACCATGAGTTGCAGTCCTGTCGATGGAAACTGGTTTACTGTCTCATACCTTACAGGTCTAAGCAAACCAACTTTTTGTTTGCTCTGCCAATTCAGTTTAAATATTGCAAATTTTGGTCATTTGAATAGTGGGGTGGTCTGGGCATAAATTTCTTTTAAACAAAGTATTTCACAACAAAAAGTATGTCCTTAGAGCCAGCTTCTCTGTCAGTGTTTTGAGAAACAGCTCCTGGAGCACAGATACTACATCTTACCTCACTTGACGGACAGGGTAGGCGTATACAAATAGCCCATAGACACACTTACCTACGTGGTGACTGTGATAGATGGATATGGAAATGTGTTTCTGGTATTGAAGGTAGGTGAAATGTACAAGATTGTATGTGTAAACAATGGAAGACATTTAAGAGGTGTGATGGCAGAATCGGCACTGATAATTTGTAACTGATGGAAGCAGTAGCAAGGATTGTGAGCCTGGCGTAGGACTGGGCAGTGTTTTGTTTTGTTGTGTATAAGATCGCTATGAGTTAGTACTGAATCGATGGCACTTAACAACAACAACAATAGGAGGAGGAGGAAGAGGAGGAGGGAAATTGACTGGAGGTTTAGAGAAAAGAGAGTAGTATGGAGAAAGTGAATGGTAAAAATGATTTAGGCATTTGAGCAGCAGTGACAAGTAGAAAATGTCTTACCAGTGACCTAGAACACGGTGTTTTGTTTTCAGATGAGAATTGGACTGCATTCCGGATCAGTTTTTGCCGGAGTTGTTGGAGTTAAAATGCCCCGCTACTGTCTCTTTGGAAACAATGTCACTTTGGCTAATAAATTTGAGTCCTGCAGTGTCCCACGGAAAATCAATGTCAGTCCAACTACTTACAGGTAATTATGGCACTAAGCACCTGATATCTGTTCTTTTGATTTAGATACAACTGTCAGTTTCTTTCATTTGTTTGCTTCATTCTCTGTAATTTGGGTTCTTGCTTAATAATCTTAAAAATAAAACAGCAATAATTTTCATGATCTTTAACTTTTTTTAAAAGCTTCTGAAACCTTTTAAACTACTTAATCTCATGCCAACAACTCTCCCAGGACATTCATGTTATTGCTGTTAAGTGTCATTGAATAAGTTCCAACTCATAGCAACCCTGTAGAGGGTTTCTGAGGAACAACCAGTGGGTTTGAACTGCCGATCTGTGGTTCAAAGTCCAATGCTTATCCTACAGCTCCACATAATCCACCTGTTACCCTTAGCAAGTGTCATCTCTTCCTCCATAAATCTTCGCTATAAAGCATGTATTAATATTCTTAGTACCCCAACATGAAATCACTTACAAGAAAAAAACAAGAGAAAGCATTTTGCCAAGTTTACAGTGTGTTAGAGACTGGCAGCAAATGTTAACACAGTAAAAGCATGGCCCTGTACCATCTAGGATCATGAAAACTCAATATTAACCATCTCCTTGACAACAGGCAGTGGGCAGCCTGAGTCAATAAAATCTGCTGTTTTAGTGTCATTGGCCATTCTTAAACCAGAAAACAAGCTAACATAAAAGGAGTGAAAAATATATCTGCTGATAAATTATATCTTATTTTCAAAAATCCAATTACAATGAAAACCCTTCAATAACATACAAGTGTCGATATGATGGTTAATTTACATGAAACAAATATACTTTCTTATTCTTAGAAATGATGACAACTTTTCTACAGCATTTTCATTCTTTGTAAAACACCAACAACTTTTCTTTCTCAGTTGATCATCTCAATTCATATTTCAAAATGAGAATAGATATAATTAGGAAAGAATTATTTAGTATAGTCCATCCTTGTGTGATATGCAGATGATACAACCTTGCTTGCTGAAAGTGAAGAGGACTTAAAACATTTACTGATGAAAATCAAAGAGCACAGCCTTTGGTATGGATTACATCTCAATGTCAAGAAAACAAAAAGCCTTACCACTGGAACAGCAAACAACATTCGTATCAATGGAGAAAAGATTGAAGTTGTCAAGGACTTCATTCTTCTTAGATTAACTATCAACACTCACAGAAGCAGCAGTCAAAAAATCAAACAACATATTGCATTAGGCAAATCTGCTGCACAAGACCTTTTTAAAGTGTTGAAGAGCAAAGATGTCAGCTTGAGGACTAAGGTGCGCCTGACTCAAGCCATGGTATTTTCAATAACCTCATATGCACGCAAAAGCTGGACAGTGAATAAAGAAGACCTTAGAAGAATTGATGCTTTTGAGTTATGGTGTTGGAGGAGAATATTGAAAGTGCCATGGGCTGCCAAAAGAACCAATAGATCGGTTTTGGAAGCAGTTCAGCCAGAGTGCTCCTTGGAGGCCAAGATGGCCAAACTTCGTCTCTCAAACTTCAGACATGTTGTCAGGAAGGACCAGTCGCTGAAGAAGGATATCATGTTTGGTAAGGTGGAGGGTCAGAGAAAAAGAGGAAGACCCCCGACGAGATGAATTGACCAAGTGCAGCATCAATGGATTCAAGCGTGGCAACAGTGGTTAGGTTGGCCCAGGATCGGGCAGTGTTTCGTTCTGCTGTGCATAAGGTCACTATGGGCCGGTACTGACTCAATGGCACCTAACAACAACAACATCCTTGTGCCATAGATTCCATCAGCATAGTTACACCTGTAAATCTGTCCCTGGGTGGCACACATGGTTAAGTGCTTGACAAGTAGCTGAAAGGTTGGCAGTTTGAATCCTCCTTTCATTCATCTTGAAAGGAAGCCCTGGTAGTCTGCTCCCAAAAGGTCCCAAATGAAACCAAACCCAATGTTGTCATATTGATTCCAAGTCATAGTGACAATTATAGGACAGAGCAGAACTACCCCCGTAGGGTTTCCCCACCTGTCAGTCTGTCAGTTTACCATACTGCGATGGCTGTTTGTTGCTGTGATGCTGAGTGTTATACCATCAGTATTTCATATACTTCAGGGTCAGACATGGTGGACAGGTTTCAGCACAGCTTCCGACTAAAAGGTAGGAAAGGCAAACCACTTCCCAAAGGCTAGTCACTGAAAACGTATGTTTAACAATAAAATATTTCCTGAAATAGTGCAGTAAGATGAACAACTCAAGAAGAAAGATGTTCAAAATACAACTGGGGAAGAGCTACCTCTTCAATGTAAGCCAATCTTAATGACAAGGAAGATGGAGCAAAGCATTCAGGACCATCATTTGCTGAGGAGGCACAACTCAAAATGTGAAGAATCAGCTTCAAGTATCCATTAATAATTGGAACATGGAATGTACTAAGTATGAATCTAGGAAAATTAAAAGTTGTCAAAAATGAAATGGAGCACATAAAGATCAATATCCTAGGTGTAAGTGAGCTGAACTGGACCAGTATTGGGTAATTTGAGTTTTGAACACTAATGATCAAAGACATGATGGGTTGTGGAATGACATCAAAAGTGTCATACATGAAAAAGTAAAAAATCAGTTTAAAAGAGAAGAATGAAGGAAAAGACCAAAATGGACATCAGAAAGGACTCTGAAACTTGATCTTAAACACAGAGAAGTGAAAGCAACTGGAAGAAATGATGAAGTAAAAGATGAAAACTGAAAATTTCAAAGGACAGCTTGAGTAGACAAAGTAAAGCATTATAATGAAATGTGTAAAAACTTGGAGTTAGAAAACCAAAGGGAAGGACACTCAGAATTTCTCAAGCAGAAAACAAATTCAAGCCAGGAGTTGCAATACTGAAGATTAGACAAAATATGGAATGATATAGAAAGCATCAAAAGAAGATGGAAAAAATACATAGAGCCACTTTACCAAAAAGAACAGATTGATATTCAGCCATTTCAAGAGGTATCATATGATCAGTAACTGAGTATATTAAAGGGAGAAGTCAAAGCTGCATGGAAACATTGGTGAATCATAAGGCTCCAGGAATTGTCAGAACACGAGTTGAAATCTTTAGCAAACTGATTAAGCACTGGTAGTACTCACTTGTCTATTTCAAGAAATTTGGAAGATAGTTACCTGGTTAACTAAGTGGAAAAGATCTATATTTACACCTGTTCAAGGACAGTGAGCCACTGAAATAAGGAAATTATGTAATAATACTATTGATATTACATTCAAGTAAAATTTTGATGAATGTAATTCAAAATGGTTTGCAGCAGTACATCAATTGGGATCTTCCAAAAATTCAAACCAGATGCAGAAGAGGACATAGAATGAGGGATATCATTGCTGACACCAGAGAATACCAGAAAGATGTTTACTTGTGCTTTATTTACTATGAAAAGGTATTTGCCCATGTGGATCCATAACAAATTATGGATAACGTTGCAAAGAATGGGTAGTCCAGAATACTTAATTGTGCTCATGCGGAAGCTGTGCAAAGACCACAAGAGGCAGTTGTTGATCCAGAACCAGGGGATATTGAGTGGTTTAAAATCAGGAAAACTGTGTGTCAACATTGTATCCTTTTCCCATACTTTTTCAATCTGTATGCTGAGCAAAGAATCGAAAAATCTGGATTATATGAAGAAGAACATGGCTTCAATATTGGAAGATGACCTATTAACAGTATGTCATATGTTAGTGATACAACCTTGCTTGCTGGAAGCAAGAAAGACTTGAAGTATTTACTGATGAAGATTAAAGACTACAGCCCTCAGTATGGATTACATCTCAATGTAAAGAAAATAAAACCCTCAGAGATAAACCAATAAATAGCATCATGATAAGTGGAGAAAAAGATTGAAGTTGTCAAAGACTTCATAATTCTTTGATCCACAATCAATACTAATGGAAGCGTCAATCTCAAGAAATAAAATGATGTATTGCATTGGGCAAATCTGCTGCATAATACTTCTTTAAAGTTTAAAGAGCAAAGATGTTACTTTGATTGATGCATTGGTACTTTCATTTGCCTCAAAAGAATTCAAAAGCTGGACAATAAATACAGAAGACTGCAGAATAGTTGATGCATTTGAATTATGGTGCTGATAAAGAATATTGAATACACTGTAGTCTGCCATAGAATGAACACATTTGTCTTGGAAGAAGTATGTCTGCATTGTTCCTTAGAAACCGTGATGGCAATGGTTTGTCTGTTGTAATTTTGACATGTTAGGAGGGATCAGTCCCTGAAGAAGGACTTTATGTTTGTTAGAGGGTCAGAAAAAAAGAGAAAGACCCTCAAAAAGATGGATTTATAACAGTGGTGAAAACAGTGGGCTCTGACATAACAACAATTGTGAGGATGTCTCACAACAGAGCAGTGTATCTGTCTATTATATATTGGGTCACTATGAGTTGGAATCAACTTGAGGATTCTTTGACAACAAGTAACACAACATAGGATATTGAAGACTATAATCTTTAGGGAAGCTATCTGCCACATTTTATTCACACAGAGCTACTGGTGGCTTCAAACTGCCAACCTTTCTGGTCACAGTGAAATTCTTATCCACTGTGACAACAATGCTTCTCACTGAGGTACAAACATGATCAAATTAGAACAAGGGATGCCCTACAGCCTGAGGAAATCCTCTTTCCACCCAGCCAGTCTCATTCAATGGCCTCATTTTCTTCTAATTGTTGCTGTTGTTCCTAGGTGCCATCCAGTCTGATGCATAGTGACTCCATGTACAACAGAGCAGAACTCTGCCCAGTCCTGCACCATCCTCACAACCTCACAATCACTGCTATGTTTGAGTCCATTGTTGTAACCACTGTTTCAATCTGTCATGTTCAGGGCCTTCCTATTTTTGCTGACTCTCTACCTTACCAAGCATGATGTTCTTTTCAAGGGAGTTGGTCCCTGCTGATAACAATCCAAAGTATGTGAGACAAAGTTTTGCCATCCTTGCTTTTAAGGAACATTCTGACTGTATG